AATAATTTAGATTATGAAAATTCTGCCCCTCCATTCACTCATTCATTAGTCGCTATTACTCGGTATTACTTTATCATCACTGTTTTTTTCCCTCCCTTACAGCTTCTCTTTCTTCACTACTTTCCAACTTTTAAACGTAGAGTAAGAGTTAAGTTCCCAGCTCATGGAGATTAAAAGCAAGAATTCCCAGTGGAAAATGACTTCAAACAGAATCTCAGAAAAATGATACCTCTGTGATGAGTTTGAGCTGATGAACATAATCTCTACCAGGAAATAAAGGTTCTCTTGTCATGATTTCACCAAAAATGCAACCTACTGACCAAATATCTATAGCAGCAGTGTACTCTGAGCAGTTGAGGAGCAACTCAGGTGCCCGATACCAACGAGTGACAACATATTCTGTCATGAAATCTGTTTCTGATGTTGTCCTTGCCAAACCAAAGTCTCCAATCTTAAGGTCACAATTTGCATTCAGAAACAAATTGCTGGGCTTGAGGTCACGATGCAATACATTGGCTGAGTGTACATATTTCAGTCCCCGCAAAAGCTGGTACAGAAAATACTGAAGAAAAAAACAACAGAGCATTAACCTTGAAGTCATGACCAGTTGTCGTAACCACAATTGCCAGAAACATGTAAGCAACAAACTGAAAGTTAGTGATGAAGCGACAAAGTCTTGCATGATTGGTTTACAATGGAAACTTAGTGAAAAGTCAGTTCATATAGCAGCATTTGATTAAACAGGTGCTCAAGTTCCAAGAAAAGTAAGTAGGCAGATTGTAAAGGCGAGCAAATACTGCTGATTGAAACAACTAGAAAATCAGTTGAATAACTATTAATTTGAAGCTCTAGGGCTTTATCATGCAACATAGTAACACATGAAAGTGTTAGTACTAAACCTGAGAGTGATCGTCAGTCAATTCTTGGTCAGAGCGAATAATCTGATGAAGATCAGTATCCATCAACTCATAAACAACGTATACATCATTGAAAGCTTCCCTGTTTGGTGGTTTTATGATATCCTTGATAGCAATAACCTGATAAGCAGCAGCACAACCACGACTTATCAAACCAAATGATCCCTCCTTATCTATTAGACAAACTTTAAAATTCCAAGAGCCACAATCGGAAAAAAAGGGTAGCAATCTCGAAAACTACCAAGAAAAAGCTCTGAACAAATGAGCAATTTCTATTTTGTTTCTCCCAATTGATCAACTAATCAGATGAAATTGTTAGCTTCGAACATCAAGCTTGAACTCACGTTTTCATGATCCATGTGGCGGAGGAGTTTAATCTCCCTCAAAGTTCTTTTGGCGTCAACTCGATTATCAAAAGCATTACCAATTTTCTTGATAGCAACCTCCTCGCCAGTATGTGCATTCACAGCAGCACTGTACCCCCAAAAAAAACACAGAAAACAACAAATAATCCAATCTTTCAGCAAACCAACCTAAGCCCAGATGGTAAAATCTTTACATAGACTAATAAAACTAACAAAATCAATAAAAGGGCTACAATTTTGTATTACCAAACAAGGCCATAAGCACCACGGCCAATTGGGCGAATGGGAGGGACATATTTGTTGGAGACTTCAAACAAGATACCGAAAACATTATATCTAACATATCTGCCTCCATGAATAAGCACTCCTTTGATGCTGTTATTGCCTTTTTTAGAACTGTTACTTTCAAAAGCTGCTGAACTACCATTATGGTTGGCCATTTGAGCTTTTGAACAAGATTTTAGATTTCAAATCTGATGCTGGAGGGGTACTGCCGAGTCAAGACGGCTTTTAGAGTTGCTTTTTCAGGCGGAGGGGGGTTCAGTGGCTGAAGATTTGAAGTGGGGTTACGACTTACGATTTATTGGGATAAGTATGGTGCATTTTCTGGCACGGTGCTCGGTTGGGGGAAAGGGTGGAGACTGGAGTTGGGGATGCTTTGAATCTTGTGAACGCGGTTTCCACGTCCGTGAAGTGGCATAGACTTCTGAAAGGTCAAAATTAAAAATGATCTCAAAAGTTCTCATATTTTCGCGATCTCAGCATGGGCTTCGTTGAATATCCGTTTGGATTGCATTTTACGTCATTTTTCATAAAAAAAAAATATTGTAATAATTTAATATATATAAAAAAATAACAATAAAAAAATATTAACTTTATGTTTCTTACAAATTCAAGTTAATAATTTTTTGCTCTGATTTAATTTTTCGATCACTTTTAACCTAAAATCACTGCATAACCTACATGTAGTCATTTTTTTTTTATGTATAAAAAAGTTCAAATCCTACATTTTTAATGGCACAAATGAATATGGATTGGTATCTCTCCTTTTTTTTTTTTTTTTTTTTAGGAAAAGAAGAACATAGTCGCTCCAAATCCTACTTTTTTTAGATGCAAAAAATGAATATGAATCATGTCATTTGTTTACTACGAATACAATTTAGTTTTTTTGCATCTACCAAAATGATCATATATGGATCACATGATGGATTCAAAATAAAAAAGTGTTCGAAAATTTAAATTGGGATTAAATTTTAATGACTTGATTTTGTAAGGGACGTAAAGTTATCATTTTAAAAGTAATGGATAAAAAAAATTCATTTGATGAAATATGAAGGACATTTTAAATGATTTTTCAAAAGTTTAAACTCTGATTGAGATTATAAGAAATATTTAAGCCTTTACGTCAATATGCTTAAGACAACTTGCTTAAGAGCAATCAACGTCCAACAGGATAGTGTACTTATATAATACCCATTTTTCCCAGTATTTGGTAAGATATTTTCGGATTTACAACCACCTATGGGTTTCCTCAATTTTTTTAATCGTGAATTGAACTTTTAAGTTAGGTATCTTAATTAACTGAACTGAAACTTTAAAATATTCAACGGCAACATGGAAAAAAAAAAAAAAAAAACTCTAGAAACGATCTAAAGTTAGTATACTTACTTCTTTGTGTGGGTGTGTGCGTGTTTTAATCTTCTCCTGGTCCTTCTTCTTTTTTTTTTTTTTTTTTTTTATTGGTCTTGACAACTTATAGTTGGCGTGATCTTTCATCAGAAATATCTACTTCCTTCACGCCATTTGACTTAGGAACTAAAAGGGCAGCAAAATATCATCCTAGGTACTCAGAGCAATAAGCTTCGTAAAGGAACTTCTTGGTCAATAATAATGGATTATTGATAGCTTTCTTGATCAGCTTTTCCCACGCAAAAAACGATGTGTGGCTGTCAAAGTATAATAGTCACTTAACTTCATCACACAAATTGATGGCTGCCCCGTTTAAATGGTCAACAATGGACTAGCTAGAAAAAAAAAAAAAAAAGATGATGCAGATACAGAGGATACCACTCAGTTGCTTTTCTTAGATTCGCAGGAAAGATAGCCAATTTAGGGCTGCAAATGAGCCGAGTCGAGTTTTGGACTAATCGAGTCGAGTCTCGACTAAATTTTACCAAGCTCGAACTTGAGCTCGAGCTTGACGAGCCGGCAATTTTAAACTCGAGGTCGACTAGAATCAATTTGAGCCGAGCTCGAGCTCGAAAAAAATAAAAATAATTATTTTAATTTTTAAAAAATAAATAAAATAATATTTTTTCTTAATAAATAATAAAATATTAAGGATATATATGTAATTTTACTATTAAAATAAGAAAATAAAAATATATATACACTTAAAAAAAAAAATAAAAATATTATATATATATATTATATATATACTCAAGCTCGCAAGCTAACGAGTTTAATATTTTGAATTCGAGTTCGAACTTGATTTCGACTCGAGCTTGACTTGAGCCGCTCGATTCGTTTGCAGCTCTAAGCCAATCCACGGATATCTTTCTTGAACAGAAAATAATAAAGCTACGTTTGGATCGGTCTTTTTTTTAAAAAAAAAGTTTAAAATATAATGTTACAATAATATATAATAACTTAACAAACATCTCATCCATACAATATATTAAATATTTCAAAAGATTTTTATGGTAAAAATTTTTCATATACACTGTTATAATAAAATTTTTCAAAAACACCCCAAAAAATAGATAATTCAAATGGAGCCATATTGCAAAGTATTACTAACTCTGATCAATTAAGAGATAAGTTACTATTATCATTGAGAGGTAGAAACTTAGAAAATGATTCCCCATAAAATTTTTCAAGAAGATAATAGAAGCCTCATGAGTTGTCAAATTAAGATATGCAATCAGACATGATTGCTTCCCCGCGGATGAGGAGAGGAGAAATGAACTGGACGAGATAAGGGAGGATGGCTGAGAATATGGAATCAGAAATCAGGAGGAATGAAAAAGTACTTGCGCATGTCAATTTTTAACTCTAACATGAATAGAATGGGTTTTGTTTTATTTTTCTTTTACAAAATGTCAATGGTATTATCCTAATTCGTCTATGAATTTTAACAATACTTCTCGAATGCACTGCAATGTTAAAACACCAAGATGATTCTGGATTAATTTCATAGTTTGTTTGGAACGCAATTTTTCTTCAAAAAATTTTTACATTTTTCGTTAAAATATTTTTAATTATTTTTTAAAAATTATTACAGTACATTTTTTTTTACAAAAATTTTAAAAAATAGCAATCCAAACAAACTTGTATACGAATATAGAAATGGTTCTGTATCTATACTGCGGTCATTACTTTATATGAGCTCAAACGATTTTTTTTTTTTTTATTTTTTTTTTGCTTAGGGAAAGAAGAAACAGAAATAGAGTTGAGCTTGATTTAATTAATTAGGGAACCAATAAATGAGAAAAACCACTTATAAATCACATTCCAACCATCCAGAGGAAAAAAAAAAAAGAAAAAGAAAAAGATAATTGAATGAGAGGGCAAATTAGGAAAAGAAAGAGAAAATTGAAAAGTTGGAGAAAATGGTAGAGAAGTCTAGAACCGCCAAACTGGATCCCCGACTCTGTTCCTTACTCACCGCTCCACATTCTTCCCGAACCGTCTTCCTCGTCCGTATATATTCTTGCTTCCTTCTCCTTTCTCCTTTGTCGCTCACTCATATCTTCCAGTGAACACACACACACACACACAAACAAACCACAGCATATATATATTTGTAAGCCGAATCTTATCACTAGGCCATGGCGGATGTACAAATGGCGGGTGAAACTGAGACGTTTGCTTTCCAGGCGGAGATTAATCAGCTCTTGAGTCTCATCATCAACACTTTCTATAGTAACAAGGAAATCTTCCTTCGTGAGCTCACCAGCAACGCTTCTGACGTAAGCATTCGCCGATTGCATTCCATTTTTTTTCTCCTTCAGATAATTTTTGTTAAGTTTAGCTGATATTAACAGAAGCACTAGTAGCAAGATATCGGAGTAATTATGTTTGTTTTTGGTGTGGTGAAGGCTTTGGATAAGATCAGATTCGAGAGCTTAACGGACAAGAGCAAGTTGGAATCGCAGCCGGAGCTCTTCATTAGGATTGTCCCTGATAAAGTTAATAGGACTCTGTCCATTATCGATAGTGGCGTCGGCATGACCAAATCAGGTATTCTATCACCGCAGCCTTAATTTCATAAGGAATATGTTCGGACTTTTTTTTAGGGTGGCGGAAGTGTTGGTATGTGAATATCAGTTTGCAGCTTTCATGTTTTGCATGATGAAGCATGTTGTGTAGAAAAATTCATCAACTCAATAGTAATTTTCGTAATGTTTAAATTGCTAGCAAAGGACAGAAACATCTTTTTACATATTTTCTCACGTTTCAAATAACTCCGTAAAGTTTGGTCCCTACTCATCAATTTTGATTTTTGTGCCGTTCTGCGAACATTTAACAGAGATTTTGCTTGACTTATTCATGCATGTATTTTACATTAAGGCGGGCACAGAATGTGTGGAGATTGAAGGCAATCCTGATTTATTGATAAATCAGTTACGACTAACGAAATTGATGTGCTGTTGACTGAATATGTGCAAGTGCTTCATTTCCAATCAATTTAGATGGTGGATAAGAAATTAATGGGGCACGTGTTCTTGTTTGAAAATTAGATATGGTAAACAATTTGGGAACAATTGCAAGGTCTGGGACAAAGGAGTTTATGGAGGCATTGCAGGCTGGAGCTGATGTTAGCATGATTGGGCAGTTTGGTGTGGGTTTCTACTCTTCCTACCTCGTTGCTGAGAAGGTTGTTGTGACGACCAAGCACAATGATGATGAACAATATGTCTGGGAATCTCAAGCAGGTGGATCCTTCACTGTGACAAGGGATGTCAGCGGAGAACCACTGGGCAGGGGCACTAAAGTCACCCTCTACCTCAAGGAGGATCAGGTATGTGATGTTTGCAACTGTTTGATTGGACTGTTTTAGTATCATATTTTGTTACCAAAACTTACGGCTGATATTGATCATGTCAAATTGATCTATCATCATTTGTTTGGACAATTTGGTGTAGCTGGAATACTTGGAAGAGAGGAGGATTAAGGACCTTGTGAAGAAGCATTCGGAATTCATTAGCTACCCAATTTATCTCTTGGTTGAGAAGACAACTGAGAAAGAGATCAGTGATGATGAAGATGAGGAAACCAAGAAGGACGAGGAAGGAGAAGTTGAAGAAGTAGATGAGGAGAAAGACAAGGATAAAAAGAAAAAGAAGAAGATAAAGGAGGTGACAAATGAATGGCAGCAAATTAACAAGCAGAAACCTCTCTGGCTTCGGAAGCCTGAAGAGGTTACCAAGGAGGAGTATGCAGCCTTCTACAAGAGCCTAACAAATGATTGGGAGGATCATCTTGCTGTGAAACACTTCTCTGTTGAAGGACAGTTGGAGTTCAAGGCTATTCTGTTTGTTCCAAAGAGGGCACCCTTTGATCTCTTTGATACACGGAAGAAGTTGAACAACATCAAGCTCTATGTCAGGAGGGTGTTCATCATGGATAATTGTGAGGAGCTCATTCCTGAATACCTTGGATTCGTTAAAGGCGTGGTGGATTCGGATGATCTCCCACTAAATATATCTCGTGAGACGCTCCAACAGAACAAAATCCTGAAGGTCATCAGGAAGAATATTGTCAAGAAGTGCATTGAGATGTTCTTTGAAATTGCAGAGAACAAAGAGGATTATGCTAAGTTCTATGACGCCTTCTCCAAAAATATCAAATTGGGTATTCATGAAGACAGCCAAAACAGGGCAAAGCTTGCTGATCTTCTCAGGTATTACTCCACAAAGAGTGGGGATGAGTTGACCAGCTTGAAGGACTATGTCACAAGGATGAAGGAAGGGCAGCAGGACATTTATTATATAACCGGCGAGAGCAAGAAAGCTGTTGAGAATTCTCCATTCTTGGAAAAGCTTAAAAGGAAAGGATGCGAGGTGCTTTTCATGGTTGATGCCATTGACGAATATGCTGTTGCACAGTTGAAAGAGTATGATGGTAAAAAACTTGTTTCTGCAACAAAGGAAGGTTTAAAGCTCGATGAGTCTGAGGAAGAGAAAGCAGCAAGGAGGAGAAGAAAAAGTCATTTGAGAATCTTTGCAAAGTAATGAAGGATATTCTTGGAGAGAGAATTGAGAAAGTGGTGGTTTCTGACAGGGTTGTTGATTCTCCTTGCTGCTTGGTCACTGGGGAATATGGCTGGACAGCAAACATGGAGAGGATTATGAAGGCTCAAGCATTAAGGGATACCAGCATGAGCGCTTACATGTCAAGCAAGAAAACAATGGAGATCAACCCTGACAATGGAATCATTAAGGAGCTTAGGAAGAGAGCCGAGGAAGATAAGAATGACAAATCAGTTAGAGACTTGGTGCTGCTGCTTTATGAGACTGCTTTGTTGACCTCTGGTTTCAGCCTTGATGATCCAAACCAATTTGGTTCAAGGATCCATAGGATGTTGAAATTGGGGCTTAGCATCGAGGAAAATGAGACCGATGATGACGCTGACATGCCTGAATTGAAGGAGGAAACCAATGAGGAGAGTAAAATGGAGGAAGTTGACTGAAAGAGAGTTGTTTGCGGATGTTAGTAGACGGTGGAGTTCATGCAACAGTGGCTTTTGTGGTAGAGTTGTTCTTTTCTTAAAGCCCCCCTGTAGTTTCTTTAGTAGCATTATGGTTACTCGACTAGCTCTGTGCTTTAAGTTGTCCTCTGTTCTTGCTGTGGCTGATGCTACTATATTTCTGACATGATTACCCATTGTAATATATAATATAATATAAAATTATAAATGCGTGTTGTGGGTTTGTGCTGAATCTTGTCTCCCTTCAAAGAAGACAAATTAACCCGGTGGCTGGGCACAAGCGGTAAGCGGTTTGTGAATGTCACACGAGGTCCCGGTTCGACTCTCGTTGTGAGCGCCAAGTTCAAATAGCCCAGGGCCAGGCCTTATGCCGAGCAAGAGTCAGACTCTGCGGGCGCAATCTGGACAGAATCCGGATTAGTCGGGGCAGCGGCTCCGGATACCGGCTGGTCTAACCGAAAAAAAAAAAAAAGGGACACAAATTAATCTCAAGATTGTTCTTGTTGAGTTTCCAGTCCCACGTCCTGGAAAGGAAAATGTGTAATATATCTTCGAAACTAGCATTCTGGGTGGAAAACAGAAGGTCTGTATCACCTTGATTAAGATATGAGGAGAATTATTTGCTGAATTTAATTGTTACTATTAGTTTTGCGTTGAGAGGAGTGGCTTTTTGTGTGTTTTTTCACCCTTGTGTTCGTGCTAAATTACTTCTTTAACTCTTTAATATGTTTCTTTGACATTTGGTACGCTTGAAATGCGACACGGTTTGGTTGACGATTGTAAGTTCTCTGGCACGTCAATTCTGGGACATTTTAAGCTCTCGAAGTTTCGTCCTCTTTGTCCTTCCTTTTCTGTGGCCGTCCGACGAAGATCAAACTTGATTTTGGCAGTAGTTGGGGACATATATATGATGAGGAGAAGAATGCCTAACCAAGAAAACAAGAGTGATATCTTTGTCAATTCTGACGATGTGGGGAATTTTATATTTCGATCATGTATTACTTTGCGGATCACTGCCGCTTTAGCTAGCTGCGATTTTAGGGAATTTTGTTTGCAAAGGACCAAGACTTGGGTCATCTCGATGGCCGAGGGCTGTTACTGGATTGGTCAGTCGAGGTTGTCCGTATAATGGATTGGGTCAGTCTGAACTTTGGTGGAGAAAAATCTATTGAACTTGAGTTTTAATTGGATTGGATAGAGCTTGGATGTAAATATTAAATTTATTTTTAATATAAATTAAATGTGAATTGAGTTTAGGTTATGGTTGATTCAAATCTGATTAAAATGCGGCTTGTATATGATTATAACAATAATAATAATAATATCTATAAATAATTATATATATTATAATATAAAATGTTAATAAATTCATATATAAAGTAGCAATAATTTATAATTATAAAATAAATATTATGTATTTAATTAGAGATCGGGCCGAATCTGAATTGAACTCGAAACGCCCTTTTAATTTGAAGTCGTATAACTTAAGTTGAAGCTGCACTTGTCGGCATTTCTCGTGTAAAGAGACAAGATGCAACAGTTGGTAATCCGAGATGGCGGCCATTTGCCGATAGCTATTTGGTTCGGTGGTCATCACCCTTTTTGGTGATGCTGGAGGTCAGGGATTTTTATCCCTGCCTCCCTCAAATTTGCCATATTATATGGCTGATTTTAGTTGACCATCTTTCCTTATCATTTCCCTTTAGATTAAATTAGATTAGATTATAAGATATCTACCGTTGTCGAAAAAAAAAAAAAAAAAAGACGGCAGCTATTTAAGTACCACATGAGAAAGCAAAACTCCAACAAAAGGAAGCATGCATGTCAACAAATCCGCTGGGTGACAATTAAGAAATGATGAGGAAGCCTGAACAGACTGCGCTGAATTAAGAGAAGGCCTTATTCAATAAGCTTCAGGTATAAGTGGCCGATTAGAATATAGGGAAATTAGTTAACCATGGTTTCGACTCTGGTAACTAAAGCTCAGTCCAAAACGGAGCTTCCTTCATCATGAAAAAGCTTCGACCGAGTTTTGAACCTATGGTTTCGTATTTGTTTGTTGTTTTAGATAGAGTCGGCAGCCCTCCCTGAAAGTTGAAACTTTATAGGCAGGTCCTTTGCTGGCAAGACTTCAGATACACCTTCACCATGAACGGCACCCAAGGATAATCTGTTTTTGTACCAAACCAACTATTTTTGGGGTTGCCCTTTTCTAAGCTTCCATATTACTGACAATATTATATGTAAGTTAACTTGAGAAACATGAACGAAACCCCTGAATCGATGACCGAAGCTTGATCAAACTCACACATCCTCACCAAAATGTGAGATACTTGCAGATAAAAGCAGAAATCACAATACGACGCAGTTTACCAACTGCGTACCCTCCCCATGTAAGCATATACATGCACGTCAGAAACTGTACGGACATGTCATGTCCAACATGCCTATTTGTTTCGTCATTTTCTTTTCCCTCTATGTGATTTGGGACCAATTTTCTTGAGGAAAAAAAAAATAATCTATTTGGTTTTTCTCCTGACTATTTATGAATAGGAAAAATATCAAACTCATTTAAATTTTTTTTTTTAAAAAAAAAAAGAAAGACGGGGAACAATATTGTATAGTTCCAAATGTTATTGACTTGGACGGCTAAGATGCTTTCGCTTGATATATCAATGGTTGAGATCGTTTTTATTCCCAAAAGCACAATATATTCTCAATTTTATAGATGGAGACCAGTTGTAATATACATCCCCGTGCGGTTTATAGTGCAGAAGATTTATCTGAGCCCAATCACTAACTAAAAAGCCAGCTCATAAAATATCATTCCACATTTGACGAGAAGGGTTATATTATTGTACTATCACCAATTGGACACAAGCTAAAATGAGAAGAAAGTGGCCGTTGATCATAAATTAGCATGTATTCTTTATTTCTCGGAGTTCTCTTGCTTTCCAGAAAACATCAATAAACACATTCTCGTCCCAATTCCGCTATCACACGATTTTAAAAGGAAAAAAAAAATAAAAATCATCCGACGTGAATGGAAAAAAAAAAAACCAAAAAAAAAAAAAAAGCCAGCATTCCCCAAAGACAGGTGGTTTCTTACCATCATCACGAGCTTTTCCATTTACAGAGGTGAAGGATACGATAGCATAGCTCCCATATTTGACGAAGAAGATGGTAATGATTCATCCCCGCCTAGTGGTCCTTGATCATCAGTTTGGTCCCAAAATAGGTAGCTAGGACATTGCTGTGTTGTTTCAACCCATTGATTTAGCTCTTGCCTTTGTAGGCAATCCAGTGTTGTTATTTCTCCCTCCACGTTATTAATGTTACTACAAGATTGCACATGATCAATATGCACCATATTTTCGACGTTATCGATCAATGGCGGCAAATAATTAATTGAATCCAATCCAGGCGTAAAAGATGCTGGTTGGACCAGTACTGTTGATTGATGGTCTTGATGATGCTGGTTCATTTGTGGCCAGATTGAAGAATTCAGTACTCCTGCCGTTTCTTGAAAGAGCTGATCGTGATCCGGCAACATTCGATCAGCATTACTACCATCACCAGCTAGTCCTTGTAGCACCGATGAAGAACTAGAAGTGTCAAACATGAATAAGGGTGGAGATGTAAATAAGGTATCTTGAATATTCTGTGGCTTCATTGCAAAGTCTTGTTGATTGATCAAGTCTATCTGGTTTGCGTTGTAAGAGAAAAATTGGCCGGATTGCTGATGATCTGTACTAGTTGCTGAGATGTTTGGTGGAGCTGCTGCTGCTGATGGTTTGCGTATTTTCTTTTTGATCCATGAGTTCCAGTAGTTCTTTATTTCATTATCTGTTCTCCCGGGCAAGTGACTTGCTATATGAGCCCATCTACAAAATTCCACTCCTTGCTATCAGAAGCTAATACAAAGAAAAACTGTAGCCAAAATGAACTGGACAGCACTCGAAAAAAACAAGAAAACAAACGTAAATAAAATCATCAACTGATTTATAAATATACATGCGACAATGAGATTTACACGAGTCATGAAATGTAGAAGGAGTTATCATTTATAATATAGGCAATCCTAAGTTAGCTAATTAACTGGTTACTGTATTTTTTTTTTTTTTAAAAAAGTGTTGGTTACTATATGTTGAACAGGGATGAGGAGACACATTCTTCTGAGTAGGTAGAATCCAAGGTCGAAGGAACTATGCATGATTGTGATAGTGTAGATTTTTTGCAAAGTGAGATACATTTTGAGTATTACTCCCATGTAATATTAGCATTTATTGCATGAGGAGAAATTAGGGAGTCAGAAGCAATCTCATGTAGTAGCTGGAATAAGTTGTATTATTACAGGTAGACTGAAGGAAAAAAAACCCCGACGTAAATAGCACAAGTAAAGCAATATTCAGTGCATAGAATAGACTTGTACTTTCAGCTGAAAACCTGAAGTTCAACTGTTGACATTGCCTACATAACGTCTTCCAAATTTAAAGTTGACAATTGATACCTTTAAACTACTCCGAAAGCGAACTTGTAGGTGTCTTTTGGCACAATGTGTCTACATGAAAATATACGTTCTTGGAACTTCATCTAGAAACTTGCTCCGACACTTAATTTACAAGCCTAAGTTCATGAAGAAGGAACAAGAACATTTCAAATCAAGAATGGGAAGTTGTCCGAGTGAAATCTGTGCTTCAAGTTGAAGCCAGTTTGCTCAAACCTGATCGTAGGTGCAGATCAGTTCAGCACAGATGAAAATGCCTCAAAGAATTGATGAGGTCTTCAACTGGACAGCTGAATGCCAGTAACATCTCAAACTAAAAGATTCCATTACACGTTATCTACTGTATCCTAGTTTAATTCATCCGAAAAACACACTAGAAATCTTATTAGCTATGTCAGAATTTGACATAGTTCTGTTGTTAGAAGAAGCTCCTCATTTCTAGTGCTGAAAGGAAGATCCTCGTTATCATCATTCCTCCTCTCATGTCCTCCTTCCCATCCCCTCCCTTCATTAACACTTCATGGAACAAAAATTTACTCCATTAAATGATTGCAAACCGATGGAATACAAATTACTAAGTTAACAAGTGATCACTAAAAACCTGTTTCCAACGGCCCCATGAAGGCTGATGATCAACTTCTCCTCTTCGGAGTGAACCTTCCTCTTCTTATGTCCGGTCTCAGGTAGTTAATCCACCTCAAGCGACAGCTCTTCCCACATCTTTG